TCCAGCTCCAACTATTTAGATCTGGCCCATTTCCACCACCTTGCCAGGAGATTTTAATGGGTTTCAACCAATAATCCTCTAGAGCTTATTTCAATAAAGGGCAGCTCTGCCAGTTCCTTCTCTCTTGATATCATGATCCTGATTTTGAATCAGCCACTGTCTCACACAGTGCAAACGCTGTTTCCATCTGAGGACATCCCTAATCCCCCTATCCAATGATTGTCTACCAAAGGAATTCCCACCTGGGGCACTTTCCTCATAGAAGGCAAGACCACCAGCCATGGGAGAAGGAGAAACCACCAGCCAGACTGGAAAGAAACATCCCGAACAGGATTTGTTGAGTATTAGCTCCTGATGCAGAACTGGGCAAGAGTTTCCCCCACCGATGCTCACTCCCAACTGAGCCCTGGGAAGATGCGGCCATAGTCAGAGCATCGTGAGTTACTGCCTGTTTTCCTTCTTCCCTTGGCAGGGTTACATTTAATAAGACACATAAATAAGGCTTGGAAATCTCCAATGTATAAAGTGCTGGGGATTTTATATCAAGCCTCTTGGAAGTGCTGTTATTTACGAGCATCAACATTCCCAAGAATGGAAGCATAAGGAACGATGTAAACAGGGCTTAGCCGGAGCAATGATATATACGTTGCATTGTTGTAGCGTGTTGCCAGTTGCCAGCCTATAAATAGGACTGGCAGAGTGGGAGTGCAGCAGGCCCTGTATGAAGGAAATGCTTGTCCAAGCCGTGGGCAGCTGGGTGAAAAGAGGTCCTGTGGGTCTGGAGCACGAAATAGTTGTGTAGGAGAAGGGTCAGATCGTTAATAAGACTTACCTACATGACCCTGCTGCGGTTGCTGGTTCGTTGGTTCCATTTTGCATTGGCCATAGTTTGTTTCAGCATGGTTTGTTGAATAAGCCATAGTTAGCTGAGTTGAAACACAGTGCTAAGTCATAAACCATGGTTTATAAACTGAACCTAGCTGGGTTTATTCAATATGGCCAAAGACAAGCAATTGTAGTAGAACAATATGCAAATCAGTTGTCTGAGCTGGTTCACATAATGTTGGACAAGTCATGGTGCCCATAAAATTTGGCAGCTGCTAGGCCTTGTTGCCCGTCACTGATATCTCCCAGAAGAGTCCTTCTTTGACAAAGACCCTGCCCTCTGCTCCTAGCTAAGATGTGAGGATGAACCCAACTGCCATTTCTAGACCTGGATGGACTCTAACACCCATCATATCTGACTATTGTCATATTTAGTCTAGCATGAGCTTAATGCAAGCTGGAGCTTGATAACATTTGGGAGGCCCAAAGGTCCTCATCCAAAGCAGAAGGGCTCCCATTTTTGTTGACCACTTCAAATTTACTGGCTTCCAATCTGGGCTGGAGGTACAGGCTCCATATTCCAACAGTGGATAGATATCTCATCTCCAATCTTCTAACAGCCTCACCACTGGTAAGAAGAAATGTTCTAAGTCAACTGTCTTTGGAAGGGAAGAAGCGGTCGGTCAGTGGCAGGTTATATAATGTGCCTGCAGAAGTCTCCAAGCCAGGATTTCTCAACCTTAGCAACTTTAAGATATGTGGAGTTCTACTCCCAGAATTCCCCAGCCAGCATGGTTGGCTGGAGAATTCTGGAAGTTGAAGTCTTGCTAAGGTTGAGGAACCCTACTCCAAGCACAGCTTACTTACAGAAAACCCCAGTTATCAGCAGTTATGGAAACATCTCTATCTGGTTCCAGAGATCCACTGTCAAAGATCTACTGACAGTCCTGGGCTTCATAGACTAATGACTCTGCCTCAAGGGGAGTCATGTGTCTTCATGCAATCAGTCTTCTTCATCTGCCCTGCACAATTTAGATAGTAAGCCTCGTGCCTCCACAAAAGCTATCGAGATAGGAGAAACGTCTTATCATTGGTGGGTGGGCAGATTGATGTACACATCAGTGGATGCTGAAAAGATCTGGGACATAATTTATCTGAATATTTGTCACCTTCTTCACAATAATGAAAAGTAGGGGAAGAGAGATGGAAGGATTTTGACTGCTGTGGGGAGCTATGATTGGGGAACAGAAAGGAGCCTTTTGTAAAATCGAATCAGTCCAAATCAGGAAAGCTTGGCAAAAAAGATATTCCAAAATCTTAATTCAATTAGGCAATGACTTTACTAAAACCCAGAGGGGGAGGCTCATAAAAGTCTTCCAAAGCCGACCAAGCACTACATTTACGTAAGATCTTTATTAATGATCTAGGAAACAAGAATAAACAACCCATTAATTCAGTTTCACAGTTCCTGCCCAAACAGGAGCTGCCACAGCTGCTGATTAAAGAAAGAGGTCAGACTTCTTTCAAGCTGGATCAAGCAAAACTTGATGCCGGTCCCCACGCTGGATCAAAGGCCTTGGCTGATCAGTGTGAACTGGGGAGATTTGCAAAAGAGATTATGCTTGTGAAAATTGGGGCTCAGGCAGAAAGCTTGCTAGCGTGAGGGAAATCCAGCTGCAGAAGCAGCTATTTTGCAATGCAGCCACACCCAGAAATTTCACTCCAAAGCATGAAACCAGAAGCATCTTCTTTTGAAGTGGTCTGAGTACCACCAAGGTGGATATACAGAAAGGTCTGGTGGGCATTCACGTAGATCTGGGACCAAATGGCCCTTGGAAGTGAAAACTGGACATTTATGTGTATTTTATTGCTTTATTTATTTTGTGGTTTTCAGAGCTTGCCCAACTCAAAGAAGCCTAGGTGGGTTGCAACACATTATGACGATAAAAGCAATAATAGGAATAAATCAAAATTATTTTAAAAACACGCCAATAATAATAAATCACCCCCCCCCCATGGTTTACATTGGTTTCCAATTTTGCTCTTCAAAGATAGATTGATAAAAGTAGGTGGTCTCCTCTCTGCTCCAGATATGGTTCACCTTGTTTCAAGGGTTGTTTTTTTTTTAATATGTATATTTATTTGAAACACGCAAGATAGGCTAGCAATCCAGTTCTTTTCACTGGCATAATTTTAAAAGTGGAACGGACAGGTCTTTTGACCAGGTGACAGAGTAATCCAGGTGCTGGATTGTTGAGACTTGAGACTCAGCACATCTGGAGGATCAGAAGGTGCCAATTCCTCATTTCTTTGGAAGTACTTGCAGGTCAAAGGTGGGTGGAATTTAATCAAGCCATGGGTGAGGTCAGAGACCAAAGTAGGTGGCCCCTCTAAGCTTTCTCTGACACCTCCTTTTTTCCTCCAAAACATGCCGGGTTGGTCAGGTAATTCATGCTAGAGATCTCTTGGCTTGCCATGGATTTTGCAAATGAAACCGAGGGTCTCTGTGTTTGAGGTCATAGGTTGCCTGGTTCTCCAGTAAAGTCTGCACTGCCACCCTTCTGACCAGCCTCTGCTCTTGTAGCAGCAGAAACTCAGCCCGTCATTCCTATGGGCAAATTTTCCATCTCTCCCACTTTCAAGGAACAGCACTACGATAAGAATCAGGCTCTCTGATTCCACAGTGGAAAGCCTACATCATGTTCATGATGGTGTTCTGGCTGCATGAGCATGGTCACCAATCATACTGGAATTCTATAGCCCAGGTAGTGCCCAGTTTAAGACCAAGTTCCGTTCCCATGGTCTGTCCTTAAGTCGAATTTGTACGTAAGCCTGAACAGTATTATTGTATAATATTGTATAAGCAGTATTGTGTATTTAACTTGAATCATTGTCTATTTAACTCGAATCGTTGTCTTTTTAACTCAAATTTTGCCACGGTAGGCTCCATTCTTAACTATGGGTCATCTTTAAACTGGGTGTTCTTAACTCGGGGATTGTATTCAAATTATATATAACAATTCAGAGGGAGGGAGAAAGAGAGAGCATGTAAAAATCAGCATCTCAGTTCTCATTTTTGATGGTGCATTTCTTCTCTTGGGTCATGGTGAACAAATAACTATTGCCTACCTGTTCCATTTTCTTCTGGACCTCCATTAAAACATAGGAAGGGATTTTAGATCAGGCCAGAATAGATGATTTCACCATCAAGCTCAATATTCCAGAGAGGTGTTAATCCACTGCAGCTCTTGAAATGCTAACACAGGAAGACTTAGTGATAGAGTTTAAAAAAGCAATTCTGTAACTGTTCCTAAATTAGAATCCACTTCACCAAGTCTTGGAGCATCATCTCAAGGAAGCATTGTCTACCCGTGCTTTTTAGCGTCTCTCCAGGTTCTCAGGATCTTTCCCATCAGATGCTCTTTGATCTGTTTGATTGGGATTGTTGGTCATTCTATCTGGGTTCTTGTTTTGTCATGCAAGTGCCCTACTGTGCTGCCCTATACCCTGGCTTGAACTGCTTCAAACCACAAATTGCACTTTCTAAAGCCCCCACCGTGATACAGTTGGGGAGACTTTTCCCCTGGAAGCAAACCATCAAACCATCCTGCTTGGCCCATTTCTTCTCCAAATCTGCCTCGTGTCCCTTGCAATCATTCAGGTTGCAGTCTGAGAGGTTGTGAAACTTCCCCCAAGGGTCTTCAATTACCGGTTTCCACAGTTTGAAGACCTGTTCAACACCCCAAAAATCAGTGAAAGAGAAACCTGGGCAAAAACACAACTTGGCTCGGCCAGTGATTTTTCAGCAGCCAATCCACCATGTCCAGATTGCAAATTGGCCATCACGTTTTAAGCACAACTCTTCTTCTCTGCACCATGAAGCATCTTCCTGGCACAGTGAAAACCAGCACAAGAAAGAGCTGAACCACTCCCTTGGAGGCCCAAATGATTTTGGAAGAGAAAGAAAATAGAAATGGTATGTGCTTTGAGGAGAGAAATAGGGAAGAACTGAAGTTCCCTTTAAGAAGAGAACTAATCTGTAATATGAGAGGTGCCTGTGCTAGCCCAGCCTGCTTGTGACTGGTGGGGAAATTCAGAATGTCCCTCCCTGTCCCAGCAGCAAGTTTATTAAATATAGTAGTAGCTGAAAACTCAATTGAAAACAGACAGCCTCTGTTTCTAACGCCTGACTCACCCGCTTGATCCTCCTTGGTGTGAGGGGAATGATCTGAGAGCCACTGGCCCAGTTGTAGGCAATACCATGGCATCTAGACTTCCTCAAGGAACATGGGCTTTTGGGCCACTCTTCCAACTTCTGCTATGTCTTCTCCCAATTTGTGCCAATCCAGAGTCTGGAGGTAAGTAATCTTTCCCCCTTACCCCACCTCTCTTTTGGATTTGCTTTCTGGCTTTCCAGGGGAGAAAAACAATGATGGAGCTTTGTCCAAAGGAAAGAGTGGGCCAACTGCACATGTCAGGCCAAGTCAATACATTGGAGTGTACAATGTTTGCATCCCTAAGGGATCGAGAGAGGCTGACGTTTGTCTGACAGCCTCAGCAACGAAAGGAATGGGGGCTAGGAGTGAGCCAGAAATTTGAAGAGAAATACGTTGCCGGTTTTCTGTCCTTCCAGCTAGAGCTTTTGGAATTCTCAAGCTTGGTGTTTGGTGTTCATTCGAATGAGCATCCTCTGACCTGTATTTAAATTCCAATTTTCAAGTAGCCGAAGGAGCAGCCTTCTTAAAGGCAAACTCCCTCAAATAGATCGAATCAGAGATCAGCTGAAGCTGAGGGTTACAAGAGCACCAGCTGGGGTGGACATCCCAGCTCTGTGAGATGTGGGCTCAGATGTCCTCGAGGAGACCCAGTTTACAACAGGAACAGGTTGGAGACATGCTAGGCTGTGAAATCAGTCACATTGGTGGAAAGTTGGGGGGAGCTGGCTTAACTTTCTCTTTTTATGACACATAAGAAATGAATGCAGTCTGGAAGGTCCATGTTCTGCCTATCAAGTTATGGGATTTGAGGCAGAATCAGTACCTTCTTCAGGTCTTCTTACAGAGGGCGCTGCAAAGTTCTCACCTCTCTTTTTCCTGCTGAGATGCTCTTAGAACATCACTTTTCAAGGGTAAGAGCCATGGGGAAGTTGAGCCCGAACTGCTGAATGCAAACCATGTGGATTCTGAATGTACCACCTGCCTAGTTGCTTGAATGTGGCTAAATATTGGGTGATGAATACATAGTCCTGACATACAAGGAATATTTGGTATCTAGAAACCTGAACTGCCAATTGTCCTACCATGCAGTCGGCAGGTACTTGAAAAGGAGCATGATTTCATAATTATCAAGGGGAAACTGAAAATTTTACAGACCTGGTAAAGGCTGTAACGTTAAGGGGAAGCAGCATATTAAATCCAGACACCATGAAGCACCGATTCATCATTGCTGCCCACTTACAACACCATGTGCTTCTTGCCCTTATATAGCAGAAGTATTTTGCCCTTATTTTATTTATTTTTCCAATTGGAATATGCTAGGAGAAATAAATACATCTATTTTTATTTCGGTGTGCTGGCTTCAGTTCCAAAACAGACGTACTTGCATCCTTTACTGTATTTGCTAATGGCGAGGAAGCCTCTGATACCGTTCGCCTTCACAAAGTGTTTGGTTGCCCAGAGAACAAATCAGCTTTCAGTTTATCTCCCATGTGGGAAAGGAAAATCATCAAGTTGGTTGGAATAAAAGAAACACTGATTTAAATGGTGCTGGTTTGTTAGTGCTGAAAGAAGACTCTGAGATGCAGAAAAGCTAAGGGACGAGAGGAGCATAGAAACAAGAGGCTGAAGATGTAAAGAATGGGCTGAACTTTCAGGAAGAGTAGGTTCCTTTTGGGAAAATGCTAGGGAAATCAGACATGTGAATAAAAAAGTGTTGATCAAAGAGAAGAACCCTCATGGTTCTTAGATCAGGAGAGGCTGCTTGAATGAATGAAGAAGGAAACATACAGCAATATTATGGGAGTTGGTCAGAAGCAGATCACTAAAAGTCATTCTTTTTAGGGTCTAAGATCTGACAAGGGAATTTGGCTGAGAATTACTTCTATGTCCCTGGGACTATTGGCAATTCTTGAAGGGCAAGGAAAGCCCCAGTATGTACATAGAGGGAGGTTGAACTCAGCATGCTGATTTGAATCAAACAATCTAGCTAGGTAGATTTGCTTACAGTAACTTTTGTATCCAACGTCCTCTAGTGATGGACAACCTGAAGATGTCCAGATATTTCTGATCCCCAACCTCCAGTCTGCCTCATCACTGACCATGCAGGCTTGGACTCCTGGAAACCATACTAGGGTCACATTTAGAAGTCCTCAAGTTCTTCACCCCTTATAAATAACTCTTCCAGAGGTTTATTTTGTGCCTCCTAGGCACGCTCCATCACTGATTGTATCAGGGATCTTTCATGCCACTTAAAGCAGGAGGCCAGCAAAGATCATGATGGCTTAGAGGGAGAGAGGCCGAGGTCAAATACCTTCCCTATTTTTCCATAAATATCTCTTGTAGGTCTGCAAACCTTGGGCTCCCTGGAGCCCTGTTTGCGGGTGGTGCCATTTGGCTAGAGAAGCCAGGGAGTGCCCGGACCGCATACTAGAAATGGATAAAATCCTGCAAATGAATCCATCTCTGCCTGCTCCTCCCTATTTTTTTGAATGTGAGGTCAGGTGGTGCCGTCTAGGCAGGGAACCGATCCAGCAGAATGAACAGTTACATTCATTCTGCAGGATAAACAGGAATGCAAAATACCAACCCATTTCCAGAGAGTGGTGACCATGTTTTCTCCACTGGGTGGTTTCTGTAACTTGGCCCTATAAATCTTTGGCAGCCCTCCCTATTTTTCTCCTCTGTCTTTTCTATTTCATCCTTATCCATGCTAGGACAGCCATATAAATCATTAAGGAAAGAGCCTCATCCCTCTGGATCCAATGTAAGACCTGATTCTTCTGACTATCTTAGAGGTTCCTCATCTCTCCTCTAGCTCTTGCCCGAATATTTTGTTGCGAGATCTCCCACCTTGGTCCTTTTTTCTCTTCCCCATCAATGAAGAATGATCATATTTGCAAGATGGAGAGCTCTTCAGCCAGCCTTGGATGTGCTGGAAACCAAACTCTTTTCCAACATCCCACTCCTACAACTGGAATTTACTTAGTTTCTTTTGTCAGTACCTGTCATGACTAATTTTTTCCATGATTGTTCCTGCTTGTTCTGGCTTCATCCATGGATCGTGCTTTCTGTAAAACACCCAGATTTGAATTTTTAAAAAACGATTATGGCAAGGTGTTAGGTGTTATTTCAGTTTAGAGCTGCATTTGAAGCTGCATTTTATAGCTGAGAGTTGGAAAAAATTATCCGGAGATACCAGAAGTTCTTTCTTGTGCCTTAGGAAAAATTGATTTGATGGTTATCAAGAACAGCTGCATTATGAATTAATAGTCAATATTTGAGTCAGCTGCTGCTGAGATATATTGTGTTTGATAGATAAGCTGATCGTTGTTACAGTTCTGTGGAGAAATATACTGGGCCATAAATATCATCCTTAGATACTTGTATATTTAATGCCTTGAAAGATTCTGTCATTGGCTAATTGCTTAATTGATTGAGCTATTGGATTTGGTATTTTCTGGCATTTAAAAGAATAGAATTAAATTACATATACATGGATTCAAATAGCTTGTTTGCCCATCAGTTTAATGAGTCTGATTAACAGTAATTTATTTTCTCTTGAAAGCTAATGTGGAATTAATAGATTCATTATCTTGGAGAGATCATCAGAAGAACAAAAGAACTGTTTACATATTTATTATTGGAAAATCAGTAGATCATTAATGTGAGAAACTTTTTAGATGTAATAACTGTATGATGATAAATACAATTAATTATGTTACCTCATATTAATCAGCCAAATAGCATTATAGAATATTTTACATTTCTCTATAATGTGTGCGTTTCTGTTCAATTCTTTGACCAATTGTGCTAGTTCATTAATTGCGCAGTCTGCACATCTGTTCTCACACTATATTTCTGACACCATCTGCTATCAAACTTTTCCATTGATACAACCCATCTCTGTTTCAGTTCTCATGCTATACTAAAAGCATGCAATTTCTCAATTTTTTTTCCTTTTGCTACAATCATGTCACCCTTGATCATGTCACCCAAATCCTCTTCTCCTCAAAAGATGTTTTGAAAGCCTCTTTTCATCCACCAAACTGAATTTTTCTCCACTAGCCAAGACATTTCTCTTTTCCAACTTTTTCCACCCAAATGAATGTGAACCAGACATAACCCTTGATTATTTCACTGGCCCTGAGTCTAGCTCTAGCCGTGATGTTTCATACGAGCACATTATTTCCAAAAAGTGCTGGATCACCAGACGTGGGTCCAGCAAAATACCAGGGACATCGAGTCAATGTTCCTCATTGCTTTTGGCCAAGAAGACAGGGACAGCTTCCAGCTACATCAAAGAAAACCTTCTTCTCAGGCCTTACAGTTAAACTCTATTAGCAGAAAGAATTGGTGAGGCTAAATCTGAAAGGAATGGTGAAATGTAATTATTGTCCTTTGATGCTGTTGCTTGTCATTTCCTGCCATTGGTTTAGATTTCCTGCTGCAACCTATGAATTCATAGACACTTCTTAGGACAATATCTGGATTCTCAAGATTCCTAACATTTTCCTTGGTTCTTGGACCAATTACCGAAAGGAGCCAGGATATAGCCAGGAATTGACTGGTCCTTGCTGTCACTTGTTATGCTGAAATCTACCAGACTAGCTCCTTTTTGTGCTCCTAATTCAGTATCCACTTGTCAGCCCCACTAGGTAGACCAGACCTTGAAATCAATTCACAGAAAGCTAAAACTTTGATGGAGAGTGGCTATAATAACAGAACCTTGCAAGACTGATTGTGCTGGGCCTCCTCCTTCTTAATCTCCAGGGAATCAGGGCAACCTCTGCCTGATCTGCTTCTGAAGGTTATCTGGGTGTTCTGGGCTTAAAAAATGCTTCAACCCTTTTTGCCTAGGTAACAGTTCCTGCATGTCTGCATCAAGGTCATCTTCCTTGCTCTCTACACAAGTCCCATGATAGGCAGAGGCTCACTAGGGTTGCAGCGAGAGGACATTTCACATCACCAGCTAAAAGCTAGAGGCCCTCAAGTCAACTTCAACTCCTGGCATCACCATCCCTACAGTTTTCTTGGCAGGGCTACAGAAGAGGCTTTCCAGGTAGAGGAGGTGGGCAGCTTCACAAAATAGTTCAAGAATACCCAGTAGGGAATTGCTGGGAGGGTGTAGTATGTAAATGTGA